CATGACTTCCTATGTCCTAGTCTCTTGTGTGCCAAACCAGAAATGCTGAATTTCTATATTGAACCAAATCTAAAAAGTAGTACAACATTTTTCGGTTGGCATAAAAGAGATTAGGGCTGTAGTGACCCATTAAATGTTTTGTTCTTGCTATATATCAAACGTAGCCATAGGACAGCATCCATTGGCGCAGAGATCACGTGAGTGCGTGACTAATCCCGACTCTTTATTTCGCGTCGCCCAATCAAAGCTTGGCACCGCATCGTTTAAATGGAAAACTACGCAATAGTGTATCATCTAGTTAACATCCTGTTTAAATTGGCCACGTTCTTTTCCCTCACTACACTTCGCTGGGGTCCGCGGGTTTTAGAATGTTATATTTGGCGCCATCTTTTATTGATTGTCTTTATATTGTCAGCTCGCCCATAATGTATTCGGCAGTTGCAAAATAGGACAATTGGTAACACTTTGTTCTTTTTATTTATTTGTTTCAGGGCCTCTAGCTTTGGAGTTGTAAATGGCAAGCGTTTTATATTTTAGATACAGTCCGCATCCCTCTTAGGAACAGAACAGGGCATAGAAAGCCATAAACTTGTTATTAGGGATAGAAACAGGATAGACGCGGTGAATAATAGAGCTAGTTGGCCGACAGTAGGCCTTTTTTATCCTAGACGTGGTCCATTCAGCAATGGCTTGACCATGAGAATTATTCGGGGACTTTAGCCTCAAGTTAGTCTTACAGAGGCAGAGTCTGGGAAATAAAGACTCGAGTAGCACAGAGAGGGTGGCAGGGAACGAGTAATACTTGAACCAGAGATAGCAGACGGATCATACGAGGAAAGAGGGAGATACTGATAGGACTTGTGGAAGGAGGACTACGTAACAATAGGTCTTCATACCAATATGACCAAGCTGCGAAAACAGGGTCAAACAACTTCTATAAAACGAAAGGAGACTATGACCACACAAAAGGCCACCCCATCTTAGCCTTCATACCTTCGATAAAAACAAGTATTTGCCAATGGAAAATATAAAACCAAGTCTTTTTTAACATAAATTAAGCTTATATTTCTGTTTTATCATCAAGGATGCAAAGCGATTTTGTTTTCAACGTCTTGCAGTGAATTAATTTTTAACAAAATGCACATATTAATTTATCGAATATCTAAGAGCTCCTATTAAAGATAAATAAAATGTTTTATAAGTGATTAGCCCAATGCATTTTAGAGTAATCAATTGATTGAGCTACCAATGCATTCACCAGCCTGCTTGACTCATTAACAAATTGCATAACTACTCCTTATAAAAACCTCCTTATGATCTAATAGTTGCATGGCTATTCGTGAAAAAATGAAACATTTAAACCTGTTACGTGATATGCTTAAATTCTTAGAAAACTTTAGAGTGAACAATAATTTTAGCCTAGCTTATGAGCACGATTAGCATATTATTGATATGATTTGCTCAAGAGTAATCAAAAAAGAAACATATAAAAAACGACACGGTAAAACGATACATATTGCATTTAGTGGCGCTTCAGAAGCCAAAAGAAGTTTATAGACTGAAAATCAGAGGAAGCAAAACCTAAAGCTGGAAAGTATTATTCACATATGGAAGAAAGTCAAGAGTACGCCTTTTTCGTATAAATAACCGAGATGTAATTTATCTAGTGCAGACCAAACGATAATAATTGTATAATGAAATACTTCTTGATAAGGTAAAACAAGAGATAAAATCCAGAGCAAAATATAATAATGATATGAGATGTATTTACCCAATTTTGTTTAAAGTGATGAAGGACTGGTAGAAGAATTTAACCAAAATGATCCGAGTAAAACTGACGTATCCATTGAATTTCACAAAGCCTTGCTTTACCAAAAGTTATTATCATCCAGGGTGGACTGCAGTTTCGACCTTTCGTAGTTTAAGTGGAGTTTCGAGTGGTTAACGTGTCAAGTTCCCATTCAGCAATATCACGGTTCCACTCCCGCTGGGGGCGTTGATAAGACCGATGCGAGGTCAACCATGGATGTGAACAACTTTTGGGGAAGCAAGGCCAGGTGAAATTCAATGGAAACGTCAGCTCTACTCATATCATTGTGGGAAAATTATACAACCATTCCTTCATCACCTTAAACGAAATTGGGTTAATACATCTCATATTACTGATTAACTGGTAGTCTAGAAACTCTACTTAAATATATAATAATGATGACCAAAATTCGGGATTTAAGCATAATCAGAGACAGTATGAAGACCAAGATGACCACAGTCTCCTTTCGTTGTATATAAGTCGGTTAAATAAGAGAAATGCACATTGTCCGGAGTTTATAGTATGCATAATAATTTCTAGTCGGATTATGGATTTGGTAAGTTCCCAGATGTTTCGCTATTATTATCAGTGAGCCTTGCAACACTTAGCACCACACTACAACCCGTCAGAGACAAGTGACGTGTTTCTTTTTGGAAGTTGTCTGCTAAAAGGTTGTGGTATATATCTTTCTGCCCTGGTTTATTCATCTGTCCTATATCCCTCTAACATCACTTAACTATCACAATTTCTTCCTTGCTTCTGGCTCTGGTGTGCATAGTATGGATTGCGGATAAGGTGCATTCCTCTAGATCTTCCTGACAATATGACCAAGCTGAGAAAACAAGATTAAACAACTTGTATACAACGGGATTCGATCACTACAATACTGAAAGTCACATAATCTTGGTCTTGATACCTTTGATTAAAATATGTAAATATGATTGCTAAACGATGCAACGATTACAGCCGAATAAAGAGGACATGTGTAAGTCAATCGTGCCATTTTAACATTTTAAATTGTTGAAAACATTATAGTATCACTCCCGGGTTATTAAATTAATGATAAAGTATCATTAGGAGACAGTTAATGAATTACTTGATCACGCCCCCATCCATAGTTGAAATTTACAAGACTGAGATTAATAGGCTATGTAAATTCATAGACTGTGAATCTATGCTCAAGCGTGGTATAAGGAGGATTCTGATTCCGGCAATCCAAGGTAGTACAAAAATAAGATGCCTATATATCTTATTTTTGTACTACCTTGGACTGCCTCACCGTATAGAAGTTGTTTGACTATATATATATATACACACATACATATATATGAGTGGAACAAATTGGAAGTTTAGCACGAATTTAATTTACTGACCTGAGGCCTGCCTTTGAACGTTATTTTGGAGAAAAAGCCTAAAGCTCTTCTCAAGGTGGCAAAGTAGTAGAGAGAGATCCAAACTTTCCAAATCAATCTAATAAATAAAAATATAAAAAAGCCAATAAATTAAATCGACGAAATTGGTTAATTAAAACTTGACGAAATAAACAAATTAAGATAAGATTCTAAGTAGCTTACCTCCTCAAGTGGCTTCAAAGCGCTTGGAATTTCATGTTTTTTAACAAATTGTCCGAAATGCCTGATAAATCAAAAAAATATTTTCCTTTATAAGTAGGTTTTTGAGACTACAAGTAGATCAATTATATATATATATATATAACTTATATATTTATCATATTTCATTTAGAGTGATGAAGGACTGGCGGGTGAATTAATCAATTGTAATGAATGGAAGAAAGGATATGCAAGATGCAATGAGATCATAAGGCCTTCCCAACTAAGTGCGGGTAAATTCATCATCATTTTAACTGAAATCGGATAAATACATCCAAAGAAATATTGAATAAGATCACCAAGTAGGATATGAACGAAAATACTAATCAATAACGGAAAGATAAATGACTAATATTCCTTTGGCGAAATATATTTCACTGTCTTCTATCTAGTGTCGCAGAGTTTCGGACACATTATTTTATGTTATTAAAGACGTTTAAGGACAAAAGTCTAATTTTTAGCATGAAGGGAAACCCGTTAGAGCCTAAGTATTTTCTGGTCATAATCGCGGTGTCGGAAAGACATCGGATAGTGTATTCTGTATTGTATCCTCTGCTATTATTGCTATAAATTCCCCCATTATCTGACACTTGACTGGATATCTTCCATGAAGATTATCCAGAATTCTCAGTAGAGCTTAGAGAGATTTAGCACCAAGTTAGCGATGAAAGGGAAATGTCTTAAAGGCGCTGAGCCAATTGTACGATACTGAAGGTGTAAGTGACAACAGCAGCAAAAGAAGCATATAATTTGTTCTTCGGAGCCTCTATGACATCATGACGCAGTTGCGAGAACTATGTCGTACCAATGCTATACAAAGAAAAAATATTACGAACAAAATACAATCTACTCTACCTTGGCGTTAAAACCTATAAATATGAGGTCTATTCATGCATGTCAGCATAATATTAATAGCTAAAGTTGTAGCAAATTAGAAAAAGAAAACTTAAATAGTCAGTTGAGAAATTTGATTAATAAGGTTTTAGGAACTTTATAGCAAAGTGCCTTTGATCCCGAATAAAGAGATTTAAAAACTACCAGTAGGTCTTAAATAAAGAGTTCCATTCAACCTAGGTCGTACAAAGTAAAAAAAGAGTGATGGTTGAATTTTACCACAATGAAATGAGTAGGCTTCACATGCCATTTAATTTCACTTAACCTTGCTTCCAATAAGAAATTATCATCCAGGCTTCTACCTCGCCTTGGTCTCATAAACATCCCCAACAGGAATCGAATCCTGATAGTGTAGCATGCATGCTCGACATGTTGCCGCTATACCACAGTGCCATGGATATCAGTGAGTGAGGATAGACGTTAATTTCAAGACTAGCCAAGTCCCTTAGAAATAATTTTTCTAGTGCGACTTTCGATGTAATCAATCTGTATTTGCTATTACGATCGACTATATTAACTATATTCCGAAACTAAAAGATTCTGTAGAGCTATATTCCTATTAGGGGTGCCGATGGGACCCAAGCAGGGCCAAAACTGCAGTGGGTTTCTGGATTTAAATGACCTTTGGGAAGCAAGTCTAAGTGAAATTCAATGGCGTCGTAGGATCTAATCATATCGTTTTAGCTCAAAATGAGAAAAGAGTGAACTCATTCCTTTATACCGTCTCATTTGTAATGTGACGCGCTGCTTCTCAGCCAACTCGTCTGCGACTTCATTCGGTTCGGTGAGTCCGGTGGTAGCCGTAAAAACTGCGGGTGAGACACGACGTCCTGGGCGTTCCGAGTCGGCAGTTTCCCTGGCCAGTTCAGCAAGACGAAGAGCACGTGATAAAAGCACAAAAAAATCCTCCTCAATAGCTCCTGAAGGATCGCCTTTGCGAGAGCTGCTAGTAACTGGGCTCTGTGTATTGGCACCCGTCCCCGGCATCAAAACTAAAGGAAGGGCAATGACTGAAGAGGCAGCACTAGCGGTAGAAGCACTAGGTGTCAATTTAGCAGCACCTGAGAAATAATAAGTTTATATTAAAGAATTGAACCAAATTTGCCTATCAACTTTTAAGCCATCCTAAACCCTTTAAGTAAAATGCATTTTATGTAATATATCAAGCAATTTTATACGCAAAAGTTAAGTATCTTTTAATAAAAAATTGCCTCGGGAGGGAAGAGAACAAACTTCAAAAGAGCGAGGAGAAATGCAAAAATCTATTAATACCTTATTCTCCTTCATTTTTAATATAAATAAACAATATGATATCACGAATAGGTGATACGAGGTGTGTGGAGACAAATCCCATTGAAACTACAAATATAGATGTATTAGAGAAAAGCTGTAATTGTTACGAGCACACCCATACTCAGTCACATAAAATATTTTATGTGACATTTAAAAGCTAAACGTAAACGTCTAAAGAGAAATATTAGAATGGACAACAAAAACTAAACTAAACTATTAATAAGATAGGTATTCAGCCTCAAGAATTAAGACACAATATGAGCAACTGTGATTAAAATTAGAAACCAAATGAATGTACAAAATGCGTATTAAAAGCAGATGTGATTAAACTAGTGAGGCACAAATAAGGATTTGCGCTCTGTATACGACACGAAAAAATGAATTATTTCATTATTTAAACACCAATATATCCCAAATAATAGCATAGATATATGATCTTATATAGAATAAGATAAATACCGGTCGTCATTCATATGTGAAGTGCTCAATTTTCGATTATTTTATCCAATACTTATCCAAAAGATTACAAATGAATTAAAATCTAGATCCGCACAAAAGACTAATCATCACTATTTATAAAGAGAAGATTTGGGACATAAGGGTTATGTAGCTACAGCAGGAAAGCTGAAGCTTACAGCATTAAATCAATAATTATTAGAGGTATGAAGAGGATAAGAACCCTGTGTAAATTAATTGTGATGAGCTTAATAATTATCATCCACGTATTAGTAAAATCATATTTTCCAATATCTGAACGTCGCATTTGTACAAATCAAATGGCTTGATGATGGAAAGTGTCATAAATACTATAGCAGAGGTCAAACCGACATTATAAAGCTAAAGGAGACTGCAACGAACACGAAGGCCACACCCTCTTAATCTTCATATCGACGATCTTATTAAAAACAGGATAGAATGATAAAAGGGAACAGATTTGCTTTTCTAAATCTACCGCCTCCTTTTATACCAAAAAAATCTAACTCGCACAAAGGTCGAGGATAATAGATTTGAGAAACCTAAGTATATTCGAAGTCGACTGCCATAGTAGTTGTCATGATTCCCAGCGGACTTGAAGAGAATCGAAGGTTGATCTCATCAAAAGACTACGGCTCAACCCCGTTATACTGCAGCCGTTTGGCTGCAATACTATGTTCAGACAGACGAAGTCAGTGAGACCTTATATGCTCGGGTGAAAATAGATTAAGCTTTCATTCATCAAATGATGGACTCATTCTTGTGAAAGTCTCACGTTAAAACTATGTAAAGAATATAAACTGTATTAAACCTATTTCGTTTAGAGGGATAAGGGTGCTGGTAAATGAATTTCCCGCAATGGTATGAGCAATAATGCGGTTATCATTAAATTTCACACAATCTTGTTTTCCCAGAAGTTATTCTCACTAAGGGTGAACTACAGTATCGACCTCGCCTATGTATTACCAACACTCGCAGCGGGACTCGAATCGTGAGACTGTAGTGTATAAGCTCGAAACTAAGTTTGACATTTTTAAGTCAGTGCTTGTTAGGAGTATGAGACTATAGCATACCAGCCATTTGACTAGAGTTGGAATAGTATGACTTTAATAAAGTTTCTAGATATTTGCACCAAAATGATCTGTCTGTTTTAAAGGTAGATAAAAGTGGTGCAGTGGTCATTATGAATAGGATAAGTTATATTGAAAAAATGATGGTTCATTTAAATGACTCAGAAACTAACAGACTTTTATTGAAGGATCCAAAAGAAAGTCTTAAGGAGAGACTTAGGGAATCGTTTAACGTTAGTGTAAGCCTTCCCAAAGTACATAAGGAAGGAGTTTCTTTAAGAATCATTGTAAATAATAAGAGTACTGTAATGCATAGGATCTCACATTTCTTTTATAGACAACTAAGGAAATTGGCTGAATGTTGGAAATATTCAGTTAAGAATTT